GATATATACATGTATATATAATGAAGTATGATAATTTAAAACCACTGACATATCTTCAAAAATATATACACCGACAACGCGATGGAAACGCTATGTACCAAATGACATATCTAAAGTGCTTGTGCCATGGTATCGTTACTACAGCTACTATAGAGGTCACAACTTTTCAGCATTGAAACTACACGCGTCAAAAAGAAAGAAAGAAAGAAAACAGGTGTAATGCAACACCATCTGGACACTCACCTCGGCATTGGGGATAGGTATCTGCGGAGTTCGAAGTATACTTCGAGGAGCGTCAGTGGTGTTACTTCGGGGCCGTATCGGGGTGATATTGGTAGATTGCAGTGTGCCTGTGCTTTTACTGATGTTTTGATTGATGTTGTGTGTATTGTGTATGTCCAGAGTATTACTATCCGCGTGTCCGGCGTGAGTATGAGATTGCTGACTAGCCACTACTGGTTGGTACGAGAACTCCACCTTACCAGGAGTTTCAGGCTCGAAAACGGATCGTTGCGGTGGGTGCGGTGGGAAAAGCGGTACTGCCGTGCTCGTGTTTGTATATGTAGCAGTTTTTGTGTTTGTACCGGAATCCGTGTGAGTGTTTGCATCCATGCTCATGCCTGTCAGGGCAGAGCCTCTAAAGTTATCTTCCGAGGAAGAATTCTTATAAGCGCCAGCAACCGCACTTGAGCCACCGAGGGTTGTGCTGAGTTGTGTATCCCCATAACGTTGAGGTTGGTAAGGAGATTTGAGCGGGCCCTCCTAATGGAATTCGAGGGGAAAGCGAGATCATATAGATATAAATATATACATATAACAAATAATATAATATAATATAATAGAATAGAATAGAATATAATGATAATATAATAATATATATTGATATATATATATATACATATATATATATATATATATATATACGTAGACACACATACGTACACTACCACACACACACACACACACACATATATATATATATATATATACACGCTATATACTATAATAACTAACAAACCAAACAACACACACACATATATATATATATACATGCATATACATATAATACACACACAAACACACACACACACACACACATATATATATATATTATACACATATACTTATACATTCAAACACACACACACACACACACACATACACACACACACATACACATACACACATACACACACACACACACATATATATATATACATATATTAATATTCTCTTGCTATAACTTATGAGATTCAACACCAATCTGTTGTAAGTTATTGAACCGGCGGCGTCAGATTTACAGACATCGAAAAGCGGAACGAAGAATAAAGAGTCTGGTTCACAACACCGACCACACAGTCTCAAAGTCTTGGTACATACTTGGTCGTCCTGGTCCATGGCATCGGTCATGGGTGTATCGTCCATGTGCGTTTCTGCATCGGTAACCGGTATATCATCCAGCGGTGTAACGCGTGTGATTCGGTTAGCCACAGGCGATACGCGGGTGAAGATAGCGGCTCCTCGCTTGAGTGGCAAGAGACTCTCTGCCTGTTTAAAGGAGGAAATGTCCACACCAGCCTGTACACAGGTCAGTACAAGTGAAGATGTAGAGAAATGTATGCATGTATATGCGTATGTGTCGTGTGTATATGATTCCACCGTATGTACACGTTTATATCAGGCGATATTCGATATAGTATAGGTGATACAACTTTACTCGCATGCGTATAGAGCTCTTTGCTTGAGTGGCACTTGTCTCGTCATACGAAATTGGACTACTACTGTACCAACTGATACTTCTGTACACTTGAATGACCAATGTCACTTTGTGGTAGACACTGATAGGTATACGTGCTGTCGTCGGACCGAGTATCCTCGAGAAATGACTTAGCTTCATTTAGCGTGTACATCATGTAGCCACTTTGCCGCTGTATCTATATGCAGCGATGGAAAATACTTATCTAAACCTCTAGGTGGGTTCTCTGACAGCCCAATCAATATAACCACAGACATGCACCCCTGTGTACTTGACAATTTCCGCTCACCCGTACCTGATTGGGTACCGAAAGCATGGAACTCATGATCTGATACACTTCTGCATCACTCATCGCATGACCGCCTCGTTCTGTGCCCACGAGTCGCGCCAATGTGTGCAGTAATCCTATACAGGGGTTCGTGTTCAATGAGTTTTCGTGTTGAAGGAGAAAATGAGAAGAGGTTAAATTCCTAGTCAGTGTCAGGAACACAAGGCTGTATATGGACATGTGTATATGCCCGGGCAAGTGATGTGGATTCAAATGTGTGTGCATTGAGACTAGCAATGGCTATTTCTGTATATGACTATCTGGTACGTATCTGAAGTTTCATATAATTGTAGTAGAATATCAATCAGTACACAGAGGACAAGAGCGCGATGTCAGCATCTGTTAGAAAGCGAAAGTAGGAGGGACCCTTGTAAATAGAATGACAAGGAAATGGACCTAAGGTAGTTTAAATTCTATCCAGAAATACCAGTGATTGAACTCGGATATATATTGAAATCTTTCTGAGATGGATGGTGACTATAACCGCATATAGATTAACCGCACCAGCTTGCGTTTTCCTTTCAGGACCCCTTTTTTTTTTTGCAAATTAGGGGTTGACTTTCTTTTGAAGGCATAGTACATACACACCTTCGTTTCGTACGATCTCTTGTCTTTGTAGTTCGATGACGTCCTTGAGCGTCGCTATGGTTACATTCCACTTAATTTCCACGGTGGCACGGGTCTGAGCCAGCTCTAGCAGACTTTCAGACTGGCACGAGCATTGAGTGAGATATGACAATACTCTTGAGAATCAGTACAACTCTATGGACAAAACACCAAGATTTACGACATTTCCAAGGCAATGGACAAACTAAAAAAACCCCCCAGTAGGTGTAGACGTCGTTAGTATGCACGTGTTTATTTAAAGATAGAGTTCAAGTAATAAAGATTTAATGTTCATGTGTCGGCATACACAGACATACTTGCATATATATACAAGAAAATACATTCAAAATGTACTTGTACATGTATGATTCCAGATGTCAAAAAAAACTCAATATACACACGTATAAGCATGTATATCCGCGTGGTGATATTGGGGCATACAAAACCAAACACAGACCGATAGCACAGTTTTCCAACATGCAATACCACCAAACACCCAGGCTCTCTGCGCACCTTCAAGCTTTTATCTTCCAGCCGCGACTTCACAGTTCGATCGGCGGTCTGGTACTCGCTGATGATGTAGTTGACACGCTCTTGCTGGGTATGCACATTGCTTTTGACCGTAGCAGACTCTGCACTGACTTGATCCACATGTGACCTGAGTTGCTTAGCAAGTCCATCACGCGTGGCCTCGGATAGAAATACGCTATCCACTCGGTCTGCCAAGGGAGAGGTAGTCAAGAAGCGTCAAATGCAACACATATTTGCTACGTTCAGATGTCGGACATATTGCGATTGCTCTTTTAAAACATGGTTAAATAAAATTTGAGATTCAGGAGAGTTTAAATAGAAGCTCAATGTCGGCACAGTGCAATGTAAATATCCCTTTACTGAGTTCACTGTACAAGCCAACGCCCTCAGTCCAAGTTCAGATGTCGGACATATTACTATTGCTATTTTAAAACATGGTAAAAATTTGAAATTCAGGAGGTTCAAATAGAAGTTCAATGTTGGTACAGTGAAATGTAAATATTCCTCTACTGAGTTCACTGCACAGGCCACTGCTCCCAGTGAGTAAACACGAATCACCTCCACCAATCCCGATAAGACATCAAACACTGTTTAAAATGGTTGTGTGAACCAACATCGCACGTAACGAAAGTTCCCTACGAGTCCTGAAACTAGGGCTATATAGAAGAAGTGTGTAGCATGGTACAGGACACAGCTACCTCACGTACTTGCACATGCATACTAGCAAATCTAGCACTGAGGTGCCGCTCTAGCACCGTGCAATCTCCACTCAAACATATGTATAGCACACATACGCCTAATAAAACTGGTACAAACTTTCTCACAGACACACAAACGCGCGCACACATACAGCTGATGTAAAATCTTCAAAACGAAAAATTCCCCCGACTGAATTCATTCGACCAAATCAATCGTTCGAAATTCGTACAACCCCGTGCACTTCAGCATACGTGTCCATGCACATACCTAGCACTCGTTTAAGTTGTGAGCGGTACAGTGCGAGTGCGCGCTCCTGCCTCAGAGCTGAGTCCAAGCTCTCCAGTGCGGTGGCATATTGGTTGGCCAGTTCTGATGCGCACCGTAGGGAAGACATAGTGGTGTGAGATTGGGTCTACTGATACTCATTCTCAGCAAACATACTACGATTATATGCAAGGACACGTGCGATGGCTGATTATTAAAGGAATTAATTATGTTTAAATGTGCGGTCGTATAGTAGCATCGAAACACTGCATGTTTCACGCTACGAAGCTGGTACCAAAGTCACATAAACAAAGAAAATCTGAATCCGATACAGCTCTGTTCGTGATACGGGATCCTAAATTGAGGTCGTCAAATCTGAAACTTAAACATGGAGCATTCGTCACGCCCAACAGAAGTGTATGTAATATTGGCAGGATTGACGACAATCGAATCGTTGGTCCAAATATAACTGAGTGTCTCTACATTGCAAACCGTAAGAGTTTGGTGTATATCTAGTGGTCACCGGAGGCTAACCAAGAGTGCAAAATGAATACACAGTCCTGGTACAGTGTGTAATATTAAGATAGCTGTCACCTTTGTGTTTGCTACCTGTCTTAGATCAATAGTTCGGGCACTTCCAATATGAGGACACCAATACAAGGTATACAACCACAAATAAATGTAGGTTCACATGAGAGGAAAATATGCCTTCACACACACACATATATATATATATACATACACACACACCACACACACACACACTATATATATATATATATATATAATATTGTATACACACACACACACACATATATATATATATATATAGTTTAATACACACACACATATATATATATATAGTCCATTCACACATTTACACAGGTGTGATAATATACATCTGCATCACGAGCTCGAGAATATAACCTACCAACAGTCCTGCAGTATACCATACACAAAACTTACGCTGTATATGACCGCTGAGCTCCCTGGCTATACTCAGCTGCTGGGGATCTGGTGGTAGAGGACCCGAGGGCGTTGGTGTCCTGGTCCGGCCGACACCGCGTTCGGCAGCATCCTTCACAATAGGTTCGGCAAATGAAAACGGTTTGTGAGAATACGTCAACTGTGATCTTTTTTGAAAAAGTGTATTAGAAAAGCATAGAATCAGTTATGCCAAACAGTGGTGGTGTAGAGTAGTACACTGGATTTTGCTCCGACCACGTGTTCGGCCGAAATAATCACAACAGGTGAGGTTAAAACACATGGGCAATAATAATACATGCACTCGTGATATTCGTACCGGTGTGTCACCAACGACCGTAATCGTGCACGCCGAGCAACATAGGTGCATAACAAAATATCAACTACTCATTGAAAATCAAGTAGCAGAAATGGATAGTAAAATCGAATCCCGTCCGAATAATACAGATCTTTTGCGTGATACAATACCCATCTGTCGCGTTGAAGACGTATACGTTTTTGCCCGGTAGGCATGGCATACCAATTTCGTCTTGAGTTCGACGATCTCCTGCTTTAACTTCTCCACAATGTTCTTGTACTCGCTCACATGTTGCGCCACCGTCACAGTGTTGCGGATAGCCCTGACCTGTGTAGCACACAAGCAGAGGTATACATGTCAAGCGGAAGGTATAGTATCAGACGTGCAAAGTTTGGTATCGTCCTGAAACACAGTAAAGTATATACGTACGTGTACAAGAGTGATATTTCGTGCACATATGCACCAGAAATTAGCATACAATCGATGTCCAGATTGAGTAGTGTGATGTGCATATCCTGCAATACACTTAACTTGCACATGTACGTTTTCTACTACTATACTATGCCCATATACCATTACAGCCTGTTCAGGAGGTCACAAAAAAGACTGACTCGCGGCCATTGCATACGTGTGCTATATGTACATCGTGCTAACGATGACTGCAGCCTGAATGTGCCGTCACAATGGATAGTCGCCTCCCTGCAGGTCTAGGCTGCTGAAATAGTTTTGCTTGGCAATCGCTACAGCAGGCATGTCCCTTTTCATAGCATCGCTGCGTCACTCAAGTATAAAGTGTCTGTGCTACTATCATTGCCGGGTGCGCTCCTAGGCTTATCAGTGCGCGCTTCATGAGAATACAAACGTACACACCTTTATACTTTTCGCACGGTTGGCATACTTGAGTGAGTTGTGCGTATCCTCGTACCTGTATTGTGGGGACGGAGTATAACATGTGTGCTCAACGAATGCAAACCCTAAACCCTAAACAACTTACAGGCCAGGAAACTTACCTATAAAACCAAGTATTGAATACAGTATGAAGATCTATCATGAAATGCGATTCGGAGGTTTTCATACAATTGCTCGTGGAGGAGAGTGTGTAGGTTGCATATATCGTGGGAACTATTGCCGAATGGAAGGCTGACTACATAACAATAGAATGTCCATTCAAAGACGCGGGATCACCACCACGAATCTCTCGAGCGAATTGCTGTACACTATGCCGAATATTAAACGCTTGGACGTCCACTCATAAATGTATAGGACTTATACGAGAGGTTTGAAGTCACAACCTATTGTTAAAATACCTTACAAGTGTGTAAAAGATACCACAATAAATATATATATAAATATTATATTATACATATACATACAAACATACAAACATACAAATACACACACACACACATATATATATATATATAAACATATACATACATACATACATATATACATATAAGTATATATATATATATACACTATATATATACATACATATACGTATACATACACACATATATATATACATAATATATATATATATATGTATATATATATATATATATATATATATATATATATATATAGTATATATATATAATAATACTATATATATATATAACTAAACTAAATAAAGATATATATATATATATATATATATATAAATGGGGTTTGCGTGTGTGTGTTTGGTATCGTACATACCACAAACCGGATGAACTAACATTGGCTATCATCACTGTGCGTGAATTACCGCCCAGTGAGTCTTTCAACAGTCTCGTCAGCTTGCTATCTCTGTAGGGTACGTGGAAACTCTGTCCCTTCCCTCTTGCTCGTAAGTCGCTCATGTGTACCTGTATCCATGCAATTTTTATTTTATCAGATGGGCATAAAGTAAAATCTCTACATATGCGTGTGGAGTAAGCGTATATCTGCGTGCGGTAAGTGCGTGCAGAATAAAGGTGTGCTGAAGGTATTTATTCTGTTCACAGGAGAAAAGATGCAATTTTACTCGAACACAGTCAAATCAGACCAACGAGTTGCTATGTTCAGCGCACAAAAACCTGTATACGTGTATTCTAGAACGCAATCAAAACGTATCAAAAATTGAGATCATCACTCACACGAGACAGTTTATACGTTTATTCTAGAACGCAATCAATGCGTACCAGGACACTACTACCACCATTATTCACAACAGACAGAGTATACGTTTGTTCGAGAACGTACTAACAATTGACACAATCAATCGCACAAGACCGTGTATACGTTTACTGGACGATGCACTGGCAACTTACCAAGGAATTGATACAGTTCCCGAGGGCGAGCAGTGACTTGTTGATCTTGGCACCCTCTAGCATACGTGCTCCTTGGTTAGTGGTGGCCGAAGCTCTTTCGGACCCAGCTAGGTCAATTAGAAGCTGCCAGAGCGGAGACGGAATGTGTAGAATGCGAGCAAAAGCCAATTGAGTTGAGTGAGATAGAAGTGTGTGCGGACTGATAATGAAGTCAACTAGGATCTGCAGGTTTTAGACACAGAAACATACACAGAAACATACACACACATGTCTATCCACAATCGCACAATCTCACAAGAAAACACCTCGCACACACGCACCAGTTTCGCTCGCCGAACTTCGGAGTTGAGACTGGCCGTGCGGTCCCTCTGATCGATGTGCACGGTGAACACCGCATGTGATCGTGACGATGTGGCGTTTGCATCGGTGGGGTGTTGCGTGCGATTCAAGTTTCCTTTCGCCAAAAGAGAGAATAACTCCTCCGCGCTCTGTGAATAGTGTTCGAATTCTTAATTACATTCCTAACTGTGCACAAATGATTTAATTATGTATATGCCAAAAGGGAGAACAAATCCTGCGTGCTCTGTGTATAGAGAAAGTCCCAATTTCGCGACTACAGCCAAACTATACTCAAATAACTTCATAACTGATATGTGTCAAAAGAGTGAATGATTCCTCCACGCTCGGTGAACAGAGTGTCATCATTCCTTAACTACGGCCCGGAGTTTGCTCCAATGCATAGGTTTGCTACAGTTATAAGTGGCATATGCCAAAAGGGAGAATAAATGCTCCACACTCTGTTGACGAAAATGTCACAACTTTTGAATGCAGGCAACCTGAATGATGCTCCCAGGGACCGTGAATACTTTGAGCTATGATACATTTGGCTGATTCCTATACAAGAACCTTTTCCGATCTGGTGGCATGCCCCTTCTAAATGGTTGGTGGTGATGTACCGTCGTGTGCGTGTGTGCATAACGTATTTATCGGTAACGTCTGTTTGCAACATGATAATATTAGGCATTTTTTCGTCTCGTCACACATCTGGCGACGTATCTTCGAATTGGCATATGTGCCCACGCATCTACAACAGGCAAACTTTACACTTATACGTATCTGAAAATGAAGGCTCTTTCAACAGCGCGTTTCGCTTGTCCTGTATGCACTGACTTTGACAGTAGTATAATTTTCAGTTGTACACTGCCACTGCCATGCATGTATGTATCCATAGACTCGGTTGCAGTACATCCATTAGTCACACACTGATGTCTGCACACACCTTTGGTAAGTGCTTGCTCAATCCCGATACTACCATCCCCTGTTCCTTGTCCTCTCTGAGCGGCAGGTTTTTCTTGGACGGTTCCATCAGATCGTTTAATATTTCGTTGTACACCTGAGGCGACGACCCCCCAACATGTTAGAGCGCATACGGATGCATACATGTGTTCAATGCCACACATACCCTCGCCTGAGGGACAGTAGCATGGACTATACTGCTTCGGAGACCGTGTACAATCATCAGCGTATATGCGTGTGAATGCATGCTTGATTGATCGCAGCTAGTTCATAGGAAATGAATAAGCTCGAGCCAAGAGGACTACATGTCACAACTATCAACACCACGTACGTATCATACATAGGTATCTATGCGTGTACATATACCAACATACAGATTAACCAGCCGGGCACTCTCTCGTTTAAATCACTTCGTGCGAATATTTTGTACTAATGTGCACAATCCTCCACGCGCGTTTCTTGTATGCCTAGAGCCTATGATATGTTTTCTAGTCTCTCACATACCTCGACGTATGTCACTGAGATCTCGTATGTTTTCTCTGAGGCATTTTCTTCCATGCGACGATACAACTCCTATTTGCAGAGATAAGTGGTGCTTGAATCAGAACAATGCCTCGCCAGCTCAGACAAACGTGTGTGCGATATCCCAAAGCCACACTCTACTTCAACCAATAACACGAAGTACATATCCACAGACACAAAGGTGCCAAAACACTTGGTGGGTCATATGCACCGCTCTCGCGCAGATGTTTGCAAGCTCATGGAACGAATACTGATTACGACTATACGAGCGCGTCCGCGAGTACAGAAGGGTGCTGAGCTTAAGCACAGGAGACAGTTGCATCTAATTCCGATTGTACGTATCTACATGGTCGTACAAGGAGCTTTGCAATTCAGTTCTATTATCTACCGATAATGTGCAATATCCCAAGCAAATCTTGCAA